TTAATAACTGATTGAAAAGTGGTTGTGAAATTTTGAAGAACTAGAAAATGGGTGGTGAGTAATGATTTGTCCACGATTCATAATAATAATTCAGGTAAAATTTTAAAAAGTTTTTGCATTTATTAGCTGAAATGATAATATTTGCAGAAGTGTAAGAGAAATTTTATTTTTATAATTTCACTGTCAGTTATCATAGAAAAATCTGTTAGCTGATCGGAAAAAGGCAGTACTGGGATATTTCTTTTATTTAATAGAGGGCAATGGCCCCTTCTTCTATTGTTACGGGCGCAGTCTAAAACGCGGACGCCTTAAGCTGACAATATAAACATATAGGGAAAACGCTGACGATATAGACAAAGAGGAAAAAAGCGGACGATATAGATATATAGTGTAAAATGACTGAGCATAGTTAAATTCACATTAAAGGCTAATAATTGGCTTTTATAAAGTAATATCTGAAAGGTGTAATTATTATAATAATTAACAAGAGCTGTAAGTAAGACAGCACGCTCGACTATTCTAAGTGCTTGATAGTAAAAGAGCCTTGATAATGTTAAATTTTTTAAGTTCACAAAAGGGCTATTTTTTTTTTTATAAATTCATGATATAGGTAATGTCACAAGGGTGTTTTATTGAGTATAATAATACTAATTACCTATGAATACATAAAATTGACAGAAAAGGTACAAAGGCTTGTTATTTAGATGTTTTATCAAGTAAATCACTGCTTTATTATTATGAATACATAAAATTGTTCCAAAAAAAGCACAAACCCTTCAGTAGTTATTGAGATAACAGCTTACAAGCAAAACTTTACCATGAATTTTTAAGTTGAAAAAGGGGAGAAAAATCAGCCTAAATGCAAGATAGAATTATGGATCTTTGTCAGTGAAATACAATTATGACCCTAAATGCATATGTGAAGTTTTAAATAAATATCTTTAATAGTTATTGAGATATATAAAACTTGCATGTAAACATTAACCAAGAGACTAAGTAGAAAAGGGGATATGAATCAGCCTTAATGCAAGATAGAGTTATGGAACTTGGTCAGTGACATACAATTATGACCCTCCAATTATGACCCTAAGTGCATGTGTAAAGTTTCAAGTAAATATCTTTGAAGACCTTTAACCTTTAACCAAAATTTCTAAGTTTCAAAGGGGCAAATAATTTTGCAAATATTGCAGGCAGAGTTATGCAATTTTGCAAACTGATGTACATTGTTACTATAAAAAAGTGGTTTAAATTTCAATTGAATATCTCGAGCAATAATTGAGATATTTGACTTTACAAAAAAACTTTAACCAAAATTTCTAAGTTCCAAAGGGGCATAATTCTGTCAATATTGTAGGCAGGGTTATCCAACTTGTCAATCTGATGTACCTTGTTACTATAAATAAGTATTGTAAGTTTCAATTGAATATCTCAAGCAATAATTGAGATATTTGACTTTACAAAAAACTTTAACCAAAATTTCTAAGTTAAAAAGGGGCATAATTCTGTCAATATTGTAGGCAGAGTTATCCAACTTGTCAATCTGATGTACCTTGTTACTATAAATAAGTATTTGTAAGTTTCAATTGAATATCTCAAGCAATAATTGAGATATTTGACTTTACAAAAAACTTTAACCAAAATTTCTAAGTTAAAAAGGGGCATAATTCTGTCAATATTGTAGGCAGAGTTATCCAACTTGTCAATCTGATGTACCTTGTTACTATAAATAAGTATTGTAAGTTTCAATTGAATATCTCAAGTAATAATTGAGATATTTGACTTTACAAAAAACTTTAACCAACGCAGACGCCGACGCGGACGCTGACGCCGACGCCGACGCCGGGGCGACTACAATAGCTCTCATATTCTTCGAATAGTCGAGCTAAAAAAGACTTTAGTTTATTTATTTGTTCAAATTAATCAATGTTATTCCCCATTGTAATCTTTATCAACCTGAATAAGATATGAATTTTCTTGAACAATAATGTTATGTTCTACCAGACAATAAAACAGTAAGAAATGTATAAATTATATATTTATGTATATACTGATTCCATTTTTTTTTAATTTAAATAAAGTGTCCACGTGTCACTTGTATATTTGATATAATCCTGCACGTGTTTAATTTCATCATACACATGATACTTTATACCATATTTCATCAAGTCGAAATAGAAAACGCGGACAATATAGACATATAGTGAAAAAGCGGACGATATAGATATAGAAGGAAAACGCTGACGAAATAAATGTTTAAAACGGGAGAATAGAAAACTGTTATAAATAAAAAAATATCTGGCTTCTACCATGTATATAATCAATTTATATCAATTAACTTTCTTTAATTCATAATATTTTTTAGTTTTATTTACATTTTATCCATTAAGTAAATAAAAGAAACTTTCTGCTATAAATACCAATCAACTAATTAAAGTATCCACGTGTCACCTGTGTATTTGACTTAATCACGCACCGACACTTGTATATTTCAAGTAATCACACATCTCACCCTTGTACAATTAATAAAGTGGCTACAGAAAATGCGGACAATACATGTATAGACATATCGTGAAAAGGCGGACGATATAGATATAGAAGGAAAACGCTGACGAAATAAATGTATAAAACGGGAGAATAGAAAACTGTTATGAATAAAAATATATCTGGCTTCTACCATGTATATAATTAATTTATGTCAATTTACTTTCTTTAATTCATAATATTTTTTAGTTTTATTTATATTTTATCCATTAAGTAGATAAAAGAAACTTTCTGCTATGTGATAAATGTAATAAATGGTTCCATAAAAATTGTATTAATGCCCCCATTGATGTGTCATCCATTGATAATGACTTTGATTGTGGTTTATGTTCTTAAAGGAAAAACGAACTTTTTGATAATATATTTTACATTTATTAAGATTCACTTTAAGATCAATGTTATTTGCAGTCTGAAAATACAATTTTTGATTTTATAATTTTTAATTAAAAAAATTAAATTAATTTGATTAAAGTTATTATTTTAAAACAATACTTATTATAAATTAAATGTAATATATTTTTGGACAGCATTTTTTTCCGCTTTGTATATATTGCCATCGTTTTTCCTATAAACGTGTATTACATTGTCTTTTAATATTGTTGTCTTAAGTAAGGGATTTTGTTAAAATATGTGATTGTTATATTCTTTATAGCTATATACATATATTAAGTTGTTACATTGATATTATTATTTGTATGTGTAAAATAAATTCATGTACCAGAACAGAACAGAACATATCTCTTTATTTCTTTCCCAGGGTATATGGTAATACAATGTGTTATATTGCTTAAATAAAATTGCAATGAAGTTCATTCTTAATCTTCGTTTTTATTACTGCACAATATTACTATACACTATCATTATCTATTTTATTATAATTTTATCTCACACATCATTCTACACTATATCTATAGCGCCCGCTTTTTTCCTCTATATCTATATCGTCCGCTTTTTCTCTATATATTTATATTGTCCGCAAAAATAGGGCAAAGAGCGGACAGGTTCAATCAGGTAGCATGTTGTTGACACTTAATTGTCGTTAATTTGCAACACGTGTCCGTCACAAGAGTATACGTGCATGCCTTTTTCTTTTTATCAACGACCATTAAACTTTAAAATAACCTTAAAAACATGAATTTATAAATAAGCGTGTTTTTGTCCAAAAATCATTGTACAAATGTGAATGAAAGTTTTTATCCTTATTTTTTTTAATGTGGTCAATTTAGTATCATTCGTAATTTGAAAAAAATATATTATCTTATTTGCCATTAAGTTTTACGTATATGAATATATTATTTTATTATACAGCATTTCTATAAAGTTCATCGATTCCCACCTCATCATCAATAAGTCTACTCTAAATTTCATTATCGTCCGCTTTTTTCCTCTATATCTATATCCTCAGCGTTTTCCCTATATTGTCCGCAAAATGCGTATCATGTTATCTCTAGCTAAGTGCCGACACGATTAATCAGTAGCGTGTTGTTCACACTTATATAATTACCGTTAATTTGCAGCACGCTTCTGCTTATATTGTATCAATAAAAAACAACAGCATGTCATTACTTATTTATATCAATAATTTATGATTAAAAAATACTCTTACAAACTTTTGATTTTGAAAAATCAAGGCTTTCTTTATTTTGCTAACAAAAATTTTGTCCGCCTAATGCACATAAAGACAGACAAAAACAATGCCAAAATGAAATACATATCCTTAATTACATATCAGCTGTTGCCAATTTAGTACCATCATTGTAATTCTAAAGACATTCATTTGATCCATTTGTTTCATATATTAGTTTTCAATATTTAGAAATTCCGAAAATGTGTCATATAAATATAATATAAAATTCATTGACATTCAATCATAAATTACTTTAATATTTCTCCCAATTTGCTAATTTATTATACTTTTTTATATAGTAAAGTATAAATCCAATTACACATCATTTTTATAAACTTCATCAATGCCCAAAATCATCACCAATTAGTCTACACTATATATCTATATCGTCCGCTTTTTTCCTCTTTGTCTATATTGTCAGCGTTTTCCCTATATATTTATATTGTCCGCTTAAGGCGTCCGCGTTTTAGACAGGCCCTATTGTTACAGAATGAACTCTATATTGTTCTCTTTTGTTCTGTTTACAGTAAGATGGCCCCCTACTTCTCTTAAATAGCCTTGACTGACGGACGGACAGACGGCGAAGGCAAAAACAATATGTATCCCAGAAATTTGTTCCCATAGGCTCCTAAGTACCTATTTTTCCGGTCGGACAGACGATAGAGAAGTTATCCCACCAGTTAATCTAAAATAACTTGCACACCCGACTTGTTAAACTCTTGCAAAATAATGGTGTACTCTCGTTTTCGACAAAAATGGCCGGTCATCAACGTTATTTTGCAAGATTTTAATAAGTGTCGGGACAATATCACTGAATATTTAATTTGCTTACTTTCATCAAAGAGATATTTCAACAATGGAGTCAGCAGCTTTTGGCCTACATCTTCTTCATTGCAAGGCGTGTGATAATCATCTTTTAAAATGCTTTTTAAAGTTCTAACACCTCTTAGGAAGATACTTGCAAAGGGATAAAGCTCTTTAATAACTGGCTTTCCATGGCACGTTGCCCTAGAAAATGGCTTTCCAAATTCAGCAGCTGCATCGCAGTAGCTAATTTCAAGAGATACAAGAGAATTAATACGATCATCACAAAGTTGTCTAAACGACTTGCAAAGGAATGATTTATCAGCTGATGAATGGAACTTATTGAATATTGTGTCGTGTCGTGATTTTTTCCGCTGTGGTTCATCCCATCTTTCGGCCATCTTAATAATGTTTAGGATTTCGAGTCATTTCGGTAACAAAAGACGTTTCGGCGGGAAGTACTATTCGTCGGTCTCCTATCGGTAATTCCCGGTCTCTTCCGGTCTATTTTGACCGAGATTTACCAGAGACCGGCGAATAGTATCACACGTTTATTGTCCGGTCTCTCCCAGTTTTGGAGTAGATATTTTATTTGAAATCGTAACAAATAAATATGTTTTTCTCCCAAAAACGAATGTTTGTCACTTACTTTGGTAACAATGATTACTTAACACAGATCATCTCTAAAATTAATTAATTTATTATTATTATTATGAATACACAAACATACAATTCTAAAAAACAACAGCATGTTTCATTTTATTTATATGAGATTAAACAATAATCGTGTACAATAATTAGATAAAAAAGATATAGAGGATATTTGTTTGTTTGTGTGTAAGATATGAAATTTTATTTCATCGAGTGGGCTTTAAAAACAGTATTCTCACGAGTGGCGTAGCCACGAGTGAGAATACTGTTTTTAAAGTTCACTCGATGAAATAAAATTTCATCTTACACAACAAACAGACAAATTTTCTTTTTATTTTATGCTTAAAAACAAGTTAAAACGAAATTTCCATAATTTTAACGTTAATATTACAACTGTTTCCCCCCATTGAGAGCCCCATTTAGTCTGAATTTCTCATTAAAAACAAGAAGTCTTGAGCTGAAAAATAAGTCCGCCAATCAGCATTAAATGACGGTGATATTCATTTTATTAAAAAAATATGAATGATCGCTTGTTTAATAATAAAAAGTCCAACCAAAAAGAGAAAAAGTCCAACTATCCATCCATATTTCTGTTACTTACTGCGAATTTATATTAGACCTGGCTTTGTAAATTATAAGCGGCAGCCATTTTTAAAGTTGTGTATTTCATGGGATGAAAATAATTGTGTAAAATTCAGAGGGATATAATTTGGATTTGTTAGTCGTACACCTTTTTAAAAGAAAGAAAACTTATTTGAGGATTGTAACAGACAAAAATAAGTGTTGACAGATGTGAAAACATTCAGAAAAGGAGCTAGGAAACAGGAAAACTTGAAAGCTCAAGAACGCTGGGTTGTTTTACTTATTTTTCGAGTGATGGCTGTCAATGCTTTTCAATTTTTCATAAAGCATACGGCAGTTATTGCTCGTAGGATACTTTAATATGCCAAAATGTCATCAAGAGCATTTTAATTTGCATGGGGAAGGAATGTTTTTTTCAGACTGTAAAAATGAAACAAAAAAAAATTTAGAGACGAAATTTGGTGATTTGAATGAATAGATCTAGAAGTAAGTTTTCTTCTTTTTATTACTTTAGACATTAAGTTATTTATCAATTTCAGCTTTTCTTTTTCTTTAAATAGCCTGACATTGTCAGAATTGTCAGCAAAAATAAAATTGAGGTACCACATGGGTAAAATCTTAAAAAAGTAGTTTCGTCATTGAAAAAAGTGAAATTATATTTTGATAATTTTCACTGTGAAATTACCAAATATAATTTTCACGGATAAATCAGTAATCCACTGAAAAACATTAAAATTAACATTTTCATTGTATTAATATGACAAAATCAACTTTGAAACATTTTATTTAATTCGTTGTTCGTGTTTAGTAAAGATTCTGAGGAATTATTCTAAATTACATTTATGAATTATTCAATTGATTGATAATTTAAAAAAATAATAAAGTAAAATACTCATGGTTAAAGAATAATCGATATAATACACTTTACAAAAGTTATAACCGATCACTTTTAAAATTTTGATTATTTTATAACGGGTCAATAGATCCTTAAAAAAAATTGCAGAGGTGATTTGTGTGTCATTTTCTAGCGATGTGTGGAAAAAAAAAATTAATACGGTTCCATGCACTTACGCGGGAGACCGGGCGCGGTTTACACATTTTGGCACGAAATGTCCGTGCAGAAGGTGGTGAGTATTAAATTTTACATTGCATAAATCCCTGTTAACATTATAAGTGAAAAACATAAAACATGACACGAATGTCGATGCAGGATCGTGCCGTAGTAGTTGGAATGTTTAATGCTGGAGCCTCTATCTGACAGGGAAGTGGCTGTTCATATTTTTCTTTTAAATATCGATAAAGTATAATTTAAATAGAAAAATGTTATAATTTTATTATTCTCAATGTGTTCATTCTCTTCGAAATAAAATAAAAGTCGGATCTATTGGTATTATTCTTTTTCATATATAAGCGAAAATGCAGAGTGGTCGGTTAGAACTTTTGTTCAGTGTATATTAAAAAATTTACTATAATTTACTGACATTTTCCTGTTAATTTTAGAGTTGTATTCGTCGGTCAATATGACAATTGCATTTTCAAAATTTATTTTACAATATTTATAAAAAATAGTAAACATAATAACTCGGTATTAAAATGGCACATAAAACTCAAACAAGAAAATGGAAAACATTATTCATAAAGATGTAAAAAAAGTATTTAAGTAATAGAAAGAGCACCGAAACACGAGGCTATCTGATTTGTACGAGGGGGCGTAGCCCCCGAGTATTAATCAGATTGCCGAGTGTTTTCGTGTTCTTTCTCTTTTGTATCATAGTCAAACATAAAAGCACGTTCCCTGCTGTCACAATATGAAACCCCGGCAAAAATGAACCAATGAACGAACATCTGAATATGACATTTCTGTCGCTTTCCCTTTCTCTTTCGTCACAATATGTAAACCCCAGCAAAAATGAGCCAATCAATGGGAATGCTCTGGAGTGCGGGTAACTAATACCCGCACTCCAGTTAACGCACTGTGCATGTATATGTAAACGATTTAACCCTGACACATTTTCAACAGAAAGGTCTCCAAACTATGATACAAATATATATCATATTGAGTGATAACAGATGATCAACATGGTAATATATTCAATGTCATATTTTTTGTAAGTCTTAAGAGGGGGTCTTCGCTAATAGCGATTACATAATAAGGGACAATACACAAGTGTGCTGTTGACCATGCGTTACACAAATGGTTTATAAATGTTGGCATTGATAATCACGATATTACATTTATGACCATAAGAAACTAACTATTATAATATAACATTATACTGTATTACATGTATTTTATTATATATATAATGTAAATAAAAAAAGCCACGTAACTTGCAAATAGTAATTTACTATTCTTTTAACGAAATAGATATTTACAAAACAATATATTGCAATATAATAACCACAAAAAACAACAACAAAAACAACAAGATTAAAATCATACACGGTTCAAATTGTGTATTTACATAAAAATGACAAAAATTAAAACAATTGTAAAAGGTAGGGTGGTTAAGTACCATTATATAGAATACAATTTTATATCATGTAATTTTTTATTGATGTGCGTTTACTTGTACATCTTTGATTTAAATAAATTACCCTTTTTACAAATAATTATGAGAAGACCTGCACAGACCGGGTCAGTAAATGTGATACTATTCACCGGTCTCTAGTAAATCCCGGTCAAAACAGACCGGGGGAGACCGGAAGCGACCGGACTGGAGAATACAATCGCAACTACTCGGCCCTTTCCGTCAGTTATTACAGATAATCATTTGGAACTGCCTCGGCTATTATCTACAATATTTACTTCAATCGTAACAAGTCGGCAATCTCCGTCAAGTTCGGAGAGCGAATTCTTGAAGTCGCCCGAGGAGTTCCGATTGTATTAACTTATCCGAAGACTGACGGAAAGGACCGAGTAGTTGCGATTGACAGATAATAGCCCAATCGTAACAACTCGGCAATCTCCGTCAAGTTCGGAGATCGAATTCTTGAAGTCGCCCGAGGTGTTCCGAATGATAATAGCCGAGACAGTTCCGAATGCCGGAGAATAGTATTCCCGTTTCGGCTCCAAATAACCCCAGTCAAATCGGCCTCACTATCGTTTACTCTGAAATTAAATGGATAATGTCACCTTTTTGATTTAGAAATAATAGCCTTTGTATTATATGAACCACAAATATGCTAAAGAAAAAGATGTTATACCTTGTATTTTTTATTTTTATTTTCGTGGTGTTTTTGAGTCATTTTTCAAAAAAAGAAAAAAAAAAGAAAAGAAATGGAACATAATTGCATTGTAATTGATCACTTTTTACTACCAGTACTATAAAGAACAAGATATGTTTGTAAAACATATATGCCCCCTATCAGCAACCAATTAGTCATGTGATAAGGTTATTATGCATGACTCCTGGGCCAGTGATCAAACAATTAATAAGGGTTATCAAGTATCTACTGGTCATGACCTTAACCTTTGACCCCTTGACCCAAAACTCAATAGGGGTCATCTGCTGGTCACGATCAATCATCATACAAAGTTTGAAGTTCCTATGGCTAAGCGTTTTTAATTAATTGATCGGAAACCGTTTTTACCTTCAAGGTCAATGTGACCTTGACCTTTGACCCCTTGACCCCAAAATCAATAGGTCATCTGCTGGTCATGACCAATCACCATGCCAATTTTGAAGTTCCTAGGCCTAAGCATTCTTAAGTTATTGATCAGAAACCGTTTTTACTTACAAGGTCAATGTGACCTTGACCTTTGACCCCTTGACCCAAAACTCAATAGGGGTCATCTGCTGGTCACGACCAATCATCATACAAAGTTTGAAGTTCCTAGGCCTAAGCGTTTTTATTTAATTAATTGGAAACCGTTTTTACCTACGAGGTCAATGTGACCTTGACCTTTAACCCCTTGACCCCAAAATCAATAGGTCATATGCTGGTCATGACAAATCACCATACCAAGTTTGAAGTTCCTAGGCCTAAGCGTTTTTATTTAATTGATTGGAAACCGTTTTTACCTACAAGGTCAAGGTGACCTTGCCCTTTGACCCCTTGACCCCAAAATCAATAGGGGTCATCTGCTGGTCATGACAAATCACCATACCAAGTTTGAAGTTCCTAAGCCTTAGGGTTCTTTCGTTATTGATTAAAACCGTTTTTACCCAAGAGGTCAATGTGACCCTGACCTTTGACCCAAAAATCAATAGGGGTCATCTACTGATCATGACCAATCACCATATCAAGT